TTGCCCTCTCCCCCATGGGTGGCTACTACCCAGGGGAAGGTCTAGCCCTCCTACAAGCCACTATGCAGGGAAGGGCCTAGGGTTCTGCCAAACCCACCTTTTTCAGACCATCACCCGGGTGAGTGCCTGGCCACCATCCTGGAGGAGGTGGGGCCTCATTCAAGCATAGCCAGTCGTAATCAGATTGCCTGAAGAAAGGTGGGGAGGAGTACAGAGGCAACATAAAGCAACAGCCTAGACCATTCTGGAGGGGTCTTTATTTTCTTTTTACTAAATAAACTCTTTTAAACTGTGTCCATCATTCCTGGTATTACTTTAATACTACCAGAGAATAAGAACCCACCATGCTCCATGCTTGTGTCTTATGCATCACTGGGTAATGCAATAGAGAACTGAATCCTGGAGGCAGTTACAATGATGTGGAGAGAGCTGTAAGTTCAGACTGAGGAGTTGAGACGGCCCAGAAAATAACAAGGTCAGGAAGTTGCTACCCTGCCTGGGCTAGAGAGGAAGTAGGGAAGAGGGTTACCAGAGTTCAGGAATTGTGGGAGCAGGGACCCTGGAGGAGAGCCTACCACGTGGGAATTCTAATCACCAGGAAGATGCATTAATGCTGGAAATGCTGCAAATGCAACAAAAAAAAAAAGGGGGGAATTACTCTGGCTTTACCCCTCTTCCTCATCGTGGTCTTCCGCAGGTGCCTTCCATTGGCCAACCCTTCCCAGTAGCTAGTTGGCAAAGAAGCCTGAGAAATGTCGCTTGCATGGGTCAACTTTGAGCATTCCAGTCTTCTTCCTGCCCTCAAACCCATACAGAGTACATGAGGAAGAGCAGGCCATGAGAGAGTCCAGCAAAGGATGAATGCTACTCCTAAACTACTATCTCTAACGCAGACCCCTTCTTTGAGCTCAAGATTCTTCCCTTATCTGAAAACTCTACTAAGTGTCTTGCAGTTCCTTCTAAGTTAACATGGCCACCCAGCCCACAACTACCTTTAAGATTTCCCCTTTGGTCCAGGAAAAGGAAAAGAGGGTTTTCTTCTTTCTTTCTCTTTCTTTCTTTCTTTTTCTTTTTCCTTCCTTTCTTTTTTTCTTACCTTTTTTCTTTTTCTTTCCCACCCTTCCTTCCTTTCCTTTTTTCTTCCTTCCTTTCCTTTCTTTCTTTCTTTTTCTTTTTTCTTTCTTTTCCTTCTTTCCTTCTTTCTTTTCTTTCTTGTCTTGTTTCTTCATTTATATGCCTTTGGGATGACAAGGGGAGGCACAGAAATGGAAAAAGAGTGAACAAATGCAGCAACGGTAATCACTAGACATTGTTGAAAATGAATTGTACAACTTCTGGATGGGAACAGAAGGGAAAAACTGGGAGAAAGTGAGGGAAGGAATGATACTGTCCAAAACAATGTACTTTTTTTTTTTTTTTATCAGTTGTGGGGCTTAAACTCAGGCCCTGGGTGCTGTCCCTGAGCCTTTTTGTGCTCAAGGATGGCACTCTACCTCTTAAGCTATAGCACCACTTCCAGTTTTTGAGTGGTTAATTGAGAAAAGAATCTCATGGGGACTTTTTCTCCCTGGGCTAGCTTCGAACTGTGATCCTCATATCTCAGCCTTCTGAGTAGCTAGGATTACAGCTTAGAAATGTACTATTTACCTGACTTATGTAACTGTAATCCCCCCTGGACATCAACTTCATAATAATAACAAAATATTTAAAAAAGATTTTCCCCTTGAGTGAAAAATCACCCACGGTTATGAATGTGAGTATGACCACTGCAGGCCGGATGGCCCTGTGCCTCCTATAGGTGATGAAAGTGACCTCCTAACTTGCCAAGCACTCCCAGGGGGCAGTTCTTGTTGATCCTGAAGGCAAGAAGGCTTTATTCTGAGTCTTTAGGACTCCTTAAAGGGACTAACACAGAATTAATTTTAAAAAATTAGATCTTAATGAGATTAATCAAGCTTCTTTGTAGGAAATAAAGTAGAAGGGAACAAATTTCAATGATTCAGCAGTCTTCTCCTCTTTTCTCAGTGTCCCCTCCTTTGCAGCTACTCCCCTTCTGCTGATCCTCCAACAAGCCAAACTTGTTCCCTCCCTACAGTCTTTCCGTGATCTGTGTGGAAAGCTTGTCTTGATTTGATCACTTCTGGCTCCACATCACAGAGGCTGTACCCTCCCTGAGATCTTTCTTGACTAGGCCAGACAGTGACCTTGGCTGTTCACATCTCTCTCCTTTGGAGCACCAAGTTGGATTGCACTTCTCTGTCCCCGGGACCTTAGAGGTGTTATGACTTGCTTTTGGCCAATGAAACTGGGGTGGGAGTGATGTACAGTGCTACTGGTCTCTGTCTGTTTTGACCTTATGGTTCTGAGTAATTGGAGTAGGGATAACAAGCATTCACAGCAAAACCCTCCCAGCCCACAGGTACTTAGCTTGAGAAAGAAGGCAATCTTTGTGTGTGTGTGCTGGTTACTAGGATTTGAATTCACAGTCGTGCACTACTCTTGCTTTAGTCTTTTTACCCAAGGCTAGGACTCTACCATTTGAGCCACAGCACTACTTCCATCTTTTGCAGATAAAGAGTCTCAGAGATCTTATCTCACAGCATAGGCCACCAACACCTGGCTAATTCTGGCTTTTTTTTTCTTTGCGGGTCCTGGGGTTTGAACTCTGGGTCTGAGGGCTATCCCTAAGCTTTTCTTTGCTCAAGGGTAGTACTCTACCACTTGAGCCACACTGCATTTTTTTTTGTAATTTATTGGAGATAAGTCTCATGGACTTTCCTTTCTGGGTTGGCTTTGAACTGTGATCCTTAGCTCTCAGCCTCCTGAGTAGCTAGGATTATAGATGTGAGACACCAGCGCCTACTGTCCTGCCTGTTTTTAACAAAACATTTTTTTCTCCTTTTGCAATACTGAACTCTGGGCCTTAAAAATGTATTCTACCCTCAGCAAGGACTATACCACCAAACTACATTCCAACCCAAACCTACCATTTTAACTTTAAAAGGCTGATCTCTAACTCCTGAACTCTGTGTACCCTTTGCCTTAGCCTCTGAGTAGCTAGACCTATAGGGATGTTCACATTTATTCTAAAATATGTTTTCTACTATCCCATTATGTAATTGTAATAAAGCTATCAAGAAGATAAACCCAGTATATGAAACTAATCCTGTAATAAAGTTTTGTATTTTTGTTCCTCACTTAAATTGTTTTTCTTGAATTTTCATGTTAAAACATTAAAGAAACAAGCTCCTAAAAACTAGGGAATTATTTATATAGGATATACTAGTTTCCTTAAGTAACTGCAGCCTACTTCTTTAATTTTCTCTCCTTGGCCCTAAATAGACTATATCTTACCTTAACAAACAAAGGATGGCATCTCCTTTACAAAAATAGTACATTACCAGAATACCCACCAAACATCTCTGTGAAATGATCAACTTTTAACATTCACTGATGGCAATTTCTACAATCTACATGCATTCAGTCTTATTAGCCAAGCCCTAACCCTAAAGTTCAGGTAGTATGCACCTGTAGCTAAAAAATGTGATTCAAAAATAAGGAAGAAAACCATAGCCAGCCCCTTCCCCCTCCCCATGTGTTCAAAGCTTGAATACTGCAAGTCTCTCCAACACAAAGCCATATTCACACAGGGGAAACCATTAACACATGGTTAAGGAAACAGGAAATTTTCACACTGGATTGAATATTTACATTTGACTGAAATTTTCCTAGACTCAGTCATGACTACTAACACTTTTTCAAAAAATTAGTATTATTTAACTGTGTCTTAAAAATAAATAAAAAAATAAACTAGACAGAAAATGTACAGTTGAAGAAAACTGGATGTCAGTCTATACAATGATTTACTTTCGGCATGACAGACTTTATTTTGGCACTTTCACAAATATTTTGCTTTACAGCAGTGACAAAATATTTGCCAGAAATTTCTTTTTTCCTGGCACGGATATTATATATTTATTTATGTATATATTCCAAGCAAGTTGTTCTATGAAGAGAATTTCACTCTGCCTATACAGTTAAAGGTATCCCCACTACATCCTTAGTCTCTGGAGGTGAGAGACCTCGTGCAGTTTTAGAAAGTCCTTTTAATCATTCTATACAAAGTGAACAATGCCTGTAGTGATGGGAAGGGGAACTTGAGAATTAAGGCCATTAATGACTTAGGTAAAACATTTCCAAGTATTGCCTTAAAAACATTTTTTAAAAAATGAGTTGTGTGGCAATTCCAGGGAAAATTCTCTAAATAAAGTGTTAGAAACCTTATGAAAAGCAAATGATATGTTGGAAGAGTTGCTGTTTATGCTGTCCATCACACTTCCATGGCTCACAGTTTAAAGCAAAATTAATGGCAAAATAGGAACGGGGACTGTTCAGTACTGTAAGTACCTGGACAGGGTACTGCCATACCTTCAGCTTCTCTTTTCTAGAAACTTCTAGGAAGGTATCACTCTTTCTAGAAACTTCAGCCCTAAGCAGCAAAGATCTCCCCTAATACACAAAATTTCCCAGGCCTTTCTTTCCTTTTCTTATGAAGTGGGCTGGGCTGTTCAGCACATGGGTCTATCGTTTTGATTTTCAGGAAAGCTTTAGGACACGTTCAAAGGTAAATCTACCTATTTCCAGAAAGGCCCCTTCAGTTCTTTGGAATTTTATAACCTTCAGTTATTTGCCAAAGTGAGCAAGCATCTGTCTCAATATTGCCATCAGCTATTATATGAAAGTTTCAAACTTTAAAATTCCCTGGCAGCCTTCCAATACTGGTACCAGACACACATAGGAGCTTACATTCATTTCCTCTATCCAATCCAGAAGTGAATCTGGTAATAAACAGCCTTAGTGATGGGCTCTTTGGTCTTGATTTATACATACTGTGGAACACTCAGAAATCAAACCATGTCATCCTTGAGAGCAGACGGTCTCATTAGCAAAGGGGACATGTACATTTGATCGGAAAATGTACAAAATTTATAACAGTGACATTTTCAATATTAGGCCATATGATTTATTCAGTAGTTTTTATGTTCCCAAATTACAATTTGTCTATTCGTAAATCTACAAAAGTTACCATTAGAATTGTCTGTGCTTATAAAATACCAAGTTTTGTTTTTAAACTGTTTTATATACTCAAGAACACCAGTCTGCGACGAGTTACATAGAATCATAGGCACTTCAAAGGCTTAAAAAGATGTTTACAACTTAAATGAATTTTTAAGAACAAAAACTGTTTCTTTCAACTCCTCCTCATACCTTCAAATTGCAAGAAATTAACAAATACAGTGGCCAAAGGAATCTGCAGCAACTGCTCAAATACTGTTTGCATCTTTGGGTTTGCTAAAGCTTATCAGTAACTCACACATCAGGTCTTCCTAAAAGGAGATCTGATCAGAGAGATAGGACTAAATAGTCTTGGAGTTGTAATCCGATTTTACACATTAATTTGTGGTTTCAAATCTGCCTGAAGCTACAGGTAATGAAACATAAAAGCAAGTGTAAAATGGATAGTCCTGACATTTAAAAATTTACATAAAGCAGAGGTTAAAGTTTACATATTTGAAAAATCACATATACACTAAATTACCATTATCTGAGTCATTCCAAGAAGACAAATTACACCAGGACAACTACAAAAGGGCTTGGTTTTGTTTTCTGAAAGGGATAAGAAGAGAGGAAAGAGAATAAAGGACCAGAGATAAATTAACAAAGTCAGACTAACTCAGTAAGGTCAATCAGAGACATGCTGACAAATGAAACAGCTTTTGTCTTCCAACCAAAGGACAAAAACCAAAAAGCCAAAACAAAACAAAATAACCTAAAGAAACAATCATTTTGTATTTGCGCATCAAAAGTGTTGAAGGTTTTCAGAACATAACATTATAATATTTTGCCACTGCTACTCACAAGAACACTGCAGATGTTTTTCAATTTTACTTCGGTTCTAAAGAAATACATGAAAAGTTTTAAATACAATGGGATTTTAGCATTAAAGTGCCAGAATGGCTCTTCAATGAAAACAAAACAAAACAAAACCCCAAAAAACAAAAACAAAAACAAAACAAAGATCTTCATTATTCTATGCAAAAGCTTTATTTTGAAAAGTTCAGCGATCTCATAAATAGAGACCCTAAGAGGGAGTTTTAGGCATAAAACTCCTTAGTAGGTGCCTTCTGATAAGCAGCACTGGATGGTTTGCGTTCCCCGAGGTCGTAGCTTCCTTCATCCTTCTTTCTCATGCGGTAGACCAGCAGCAGGATGAGGAAGATGGCAAAGAGGAAGCCGATCACTCCACCCGCGATGACAGCTGAAATCCACCAAAAGAGAATATTATCGTTTCCTGTGTATGCATGTGCCATTAATGGGAGCTTGAACTCAGGGCGACTAGGTGCTATCCCTTTAGCCTGTTCACTCAAGACTAGTACTCTACTTGAGCCATAGCTCTACTTTTGGCTTTCTGGTGGCTAGTTGGAGGTAAGAGTCTCATGAACTTTATTGCCTGGGGTTGGTTGGATTTGAACTTTGAGCTTCAGATCTTAGTGTCCTGAGTAGTTTAGGATTATTACAAGTATAAGCCACCAGTGCATTGCAATCTGAGAAGTGCAGAAATGAGCTTTGTCAAACCTTGTTATACTTTTATGAAACACTTAATCTGAAAACACACATTAAAAAACAAAACCTGGATTAAATAAAGGCAATTATGAAAATCTGACATTTCCTTTTAAAAGTACAATAATACCTCCTTTGATTTGTATTAATATCGCCTAAAGCCTCAATAGAAAAAATCTGGCTCTGACTTGAACTAATTCCATACTTTGAAATGCTTACCATCTTTTCAGTACTAAGCAAAAAAAAAAAAAAAAAAAAAAAAAAAAAAAAACCCTAATGGTTTATTTTGATACAAATACAAAACATGGTATAGCTGACTTTAAAAATTCACGAGTAAATATGAAGGGAAAGGTGAAAATTTCTTTCTAGCCTTGAATGTGAGACTATCTTTTCAATAATCTGGGGTTCCTAAATCTTGCAAACTGTTCTCTTTAAAACAAATGTTAGAATAGTTTGAGTGGATTTTATCCAAAATTCTTGAAAACGAAAGTGTTTATGAATTTTCTAGACTGGAATATTTGTCTAGACTAATGAGACAGGTTGGGAAAGGACCTGAGTCTCAACATGAAACTCTGATGTTTCATAGATATCTTATATACATAGCCCAAAGGAAATTTTATACCGTATTTTAATAATTCTGTGTAGTGTGCCTATGCTTTGTTACTGCCTATGTTACGAGGTCAGGTGTGGAATTTTCCACTGTGGTATCAAATTGGCAGTCAAAATGTTTTGGGAGATTTCAGACTGCATTCTTAGAATAGGGATGCACAATTTGTATTTCAATCATATAATTTACAATTAGAATATTTTACACTTAGGGCAAGTATCCGTGTCACCTGCCTTCCCCACCAAGGCCTTTCCTTCTCAAGTTTATTTGGAAATCAGGGATGACTTGAAGGAAGATATGACTGGTCTTCTTCACACCTTGCCATTCTCCCAGGCATAGTTGTTCTGGACCAATTCAGATCATTTCTTGACTATTTCAGGCTCCATCTCACACTGCCTGGCCTCCATCCCTGGCTAACTAACAGCTAGGCTGAGAGACACAGCAGAAAACTGAGGCAAATGTGCTTAACTTCTCACTTTGCAACAAAGGCTCTCCAGACCACTTTAGGAGGAAGGTGACATTTTGCAAGCTTTGCTGAACCTCTGACTATCACTTAGAGATAGTGAGGCTTCATGATGAATCCTCCCACCAGATCTGAAACTGGCTACTCACCTGCTAGGACTTCTGTCCGTTTAAACAGATTGTCTGAGTGCTTCTCAGTATACACATTTGTATCTTCGTCAGCTGGGTCCATTTTCCTTTCTGAGTCAGGCATGTGAACTTCTTCCTTATCAATTTCTTCAGGGGACTGGTATGGGAAACATGTAAACAGTATATTAGTTTTTTGTTTTTGTTAAGAAATGTGGTAGAACGAAGAAATAATAGATTAATATATTCCAAAGTTCTTTTGTTAAACACGTAGTTTAGGAAATAATCTTTTTGTTGTTGTTGTTGGTCGTGGGGCTTGAACTCTGGGCCTGAGCGCTGTCCCTCAGCTCTTCAGCTCAAGGCTAGCACTCTACCATTTGAGCTACAGGGCCACTTCCAGTTTTCTGGTTTATTGGAGATAAGGGTTTCACGGACTTTCTTTCTTTCTTTTTTGGGTCCGGTCGTGGGGCCTGAACTCTGGGACGGGCACTGTCCCTCAGCTCTTCAGCTCAAGGCTAGCGCTCTACCACTTGAGCCACAGCGCCACTTCCAGCTTTTTTTCTTTTTGCTTCTGTGGTGCTGAGGAATCGAACCCAGGGCCTCAAGCATGCAAGGCAAGCGCTCTACCACTCAGCCACCTTCCAGCCTTTTTTTTTTTTTTTTTTTTTGGTCCGGTCGTGGGGCCTGAACTCTGGGTCTGGGCACTGCCCCTCAGCTCTTCAGCTCAAGGCTAGCACTCTACCACTTGAGCCACAGCGCCACTTCCAGCTTTTTTTCTTTTTGCTTATGTGGTGCTGAGGAATCGAACCCAGGGCCTCATGCATGCAAGGCAAGCGCTCTACCACTGAGCCACCTTCCTAGCCCCACTGAGCCACCTTCCTAGCCCCTCACGGACTTTCCTGTGGGGGCTGGCATTGAACTGCGATCCTCAGATCTCAGCCTCCTGAGTAGTTAGGATCATAGGCATGAGCCACCAGTGCTCGGCAGGAAATAATCATTTTGCATGATGCTTATACCAATGGATGAGGCCCACAGTGGACCTATGTAGCTCATTATTTTGCATATCATCTGTCATCGGCAATAATAGGTAAGATGGGTACTTACTAAGTTCAGTATCATTCAGATGATATGCTTAGTTGTTTTAGTTGACATTTCCTAAGTTCTCTGGTTTCTCACTAATCTTCTGACTTTTGGCCACTATCTCCCTCCAGCTAACCCAAATTCTTCATTCTTGCTCCAAGGTGCTGAGGCAACAATCCCTGGCCCTTCTCCAGGAATTCTGCCATTTCTGATGGGGTTCTCCCTGTTCCCAGACTCTACATTAAATACCAACTCGAATCCATATCATCTTTATCCCCATTGTTATGACAAATCTCGTTTCCACCTTAGGTTCCCTGAGTCTCAAAAGTCAATTAATTAAGAAGATTGACTTATTAGATCCCCTAGGCTCGGCTTCTGATCTAGTAATGAATGAAAGAAACATAGTATTCCAGGGATCTGAGCAGGTGGGACAGACTGTCTCAATAGAACTGAGCAATGTGAGCATGCTCCTAAGAGGAATGGGCTCTCAGTGGACAAACCTTAAGGTGTTCTGAATGGGACAGTCATTTTGTGTTTCAAATTGATATTGAAAAGCTTTATTGTATACAAAGTCTTGACTAAGAATAAACCATTCCACAGCATAGCTCCAATCTGAGATCTCATACATATAAGCGTGTATATATATATATATATATATATATATGCATGCATATACATATATATATACATAAACATATATACATACATAAAATTACAAGAAGATAACATGGATAATTAAATGAAGCCAATTAAAGATCTAAAAGATGCATGCTGTGTGTATGCCACAGAAAAACAATGGCGTTAAGATTATGAGTGAAGCTCTAATAAACAACTGCATTTTACTCTTTTTCTTTTTAAATTTTTGTACCAGTACTAGGGTTTGAACTCAGGGTCTAGGAGCTGTCCTTTAGCATTTTCTTTTAAGGCTAGGGTTCTATCACTTGAGCCAAAGCTCCACTCCTGGCTTTTTGGTGGCTAATTGAGATAAAAGAGGCTCATGGACTTTCTTGCCAGGGTTGGCTTTGAACTGCCATTCTGAGATAACCAGCCTTCCAAGTAGCTAGGATTACAAGTGTGAGCCACTGGTGCCTGGCTGCTCTTTACTCTTTCATCACATAATTTATAACAACTAAATAGAATATCTTTAACAGGGACACTAATGCAACTGTCAGAACATTTTAAAAGCAGAATCTTCACTAATGGTATCCTACAGACAATATTTAATTCAGCTGTACCATGTGACTATAAAATGGAAATTAAATCACTATTATTGTTATTCATGATCAATATTATATTATCAGTACCTAGAACAGTATTTGACACATAATGAAAACTCTCCCATGAATCAATGAATTTTTAGTATTATAATGAATATAAATAACAGTAGGAATGTACATATATTAAAAATGGTCTGGGACCTTCAATTTCTAAATTCATCTGACCAATGTCTATATTTGATCTAATTCAATTACGTAAGTCAATTTTTATAATCTTAAATCAATTTTCAATCCATTATTGATAGTGAACCAGAAATCTAAGTCAAACCAAAGCACTTAGAACTCTTTTATTTATGCATAGGGGTAAGGAGGCAGTACTCATGTTTGAACTCAGAGACTCATGTTTTCTAGGCAGGCTCTCAATCACTTGAGCCATGCTCCAGTCCTTCTGCCTCACTTGGTCAGGGACTGTAATCATCTCTGCCTTCTAAGTAGTTGTGATTATAGTCATGCACCACCCAAGGTCAGCAAGACACATTGCTTTATCACACAAAGCCAAAATTAGCCCAGAAGAGGTTCTTCCCTTTATCCCGTCAATGGTCATTGACTTCAATAGATGCAGTCATAAGAAAAGAACAAGTAAAAAGGCTGGGTGTATCTCTCCATAGTGAGGCTGGATAATTGTGCCCAAATATTCTGGGGTATTCCACCATCCTACCATCATCAACTGTATCTGCTACTTTTCCTTTCTCTCCTTCACCCTTTCCCTTTTCATCCAACCTGGGCACTGATGGGCAGATTCCATTCATGAGCCTCAACACAGTAGGCCTGTCTGCCTTAGTCCTCAAGAGCTTATTCTTCTCTGCTTCTTGCTTGGCTTGTGAGCTCCGACTGCCCAATAATAGTAACTGACCCTTATGAAGTCTACAGAGAACACATTAATCTGCATGTGCTTCATCTGCAGAGAGCCATTTGTCTGTGCTAATTCCCACACAGCACTAGAAGAATTAAGAAGAGGAGGAAGAAAGAACCCTGCTAAGGGTGAGAAAAGCCTACTTGTATTTGTGTCTACAAAGGGGTGCTTCCCATTGCAGCATAGGCCTGTTACTCTCTCCATAAATACCTGGAAGCATCTCATTTCTAAATGACATGTCCCAAGGGGGACATTTGTGTTTCTAGGTCTTCCTAATCAACATGCTACCTCCGAAGCATCTTCAAAGGTTACCACTGCAGTTATTACACATGCTCATTTGGTGAACTGGCTTAATCTCTTCTGCTCCACCAGAATTCAACTACTGTTTACAAAACGCCATACAGGTGTTATGCTATACAGACTCACACTTAATCTTCTTAATGACTCAAGAAGTTCTAATGGACCCAGGATTCCAAATGGAGGCCCTTGTCATGCAATTCCCAACATCAACAGCTCACCTCTTAGTAGACCGCCAGCTAACTGCAACAGAATGCTGACAAAGTCAAAATCATGAGCTCATAGTTTTCATTAGCTGGTAGCTTTGCTCTGTTCTAAGGCCAGCCAGCTCATTTTCCTGAAGTCAGACCTAAAATGAATAAATACAGATGTGCCCTGCTTCATCATGGTCACTGTATGTGGTCCAAGTTTACATGGATGGTGGGTCCATGCAGACTAAGAGATGACTCACTGACACTTTTCCATGTGAAGGTAGGACTCTGCGTCTCATTGCACAACCTGGCCCAGTTTATGGAGAGTTCACAATGGCTTAAACTCAGACGACCATTTATTCTCCATGACATAAATGAGGGAAGTAGGGAAGAGGACATTTGGCTTAACCGAGTAAACAAGGTTTTACTTCTTAACTGGGCTTGAGAAGTTCCTCAAAATTAGACTGTCACATCTAATAAAAACGTATAGAAACTCGGCCTGGCTGTAAAACCAGCAGGTATACCAAAATGATCCTAAACAAACACAATGACAAGACAAGACCTCTGAAGAGGGCCATTCGATACAGTTAAAACAAGAGAAGCATTTACTATAACTTGATCAAGCAACAAGAAGCAAAAGGCACCTTTGTCTGAGCAGGCATCTTGCTCTGTGTCTTCAATGTCGTGGTCTCCACTTTTGGAACAGCACTAGTAAATGAGATCCTTGGAATTGGCCGTGAAGTTGTCAGTTCTGGACTCTCTATGTCCTCATCGGCTCCTAAAGAATAAGCACAGACAAACACAGCATGAGAATCATGATGGACATGTATATTACCAAGCAGTATTACCAACACAATGCTGACAGAGCCACGCTCTAAGTATTTAGCTCAGTCCTTCCAGCAGTCCATCTCTGATGAGGTGGTCTCAGCAGGGATATGTGGATAGCTTGACAGTTTTGTTATTGTTTTTCACTATTATTATCCTGAACACTCTTTAAGTAACTCTCTTCTCCATGCTTGGTCAGTTTTTCCTGCTCAGTAAGATTTCTTACTGAATACAGTAAAACAAAACAAAAACAACAAAACAACAACACAACACAACAGAACAAAATATGCAAAGTGAACATTCTCTGAGAACAGACTCACCTCATTGGTGAGCTTTTAGCCTCTCTCATTTATGACAAACTTTCCCAATGGCAATATGGGCTCCTACTGGTTCCTGTTCTTAGAATCTCTGTTACTGGGTACCTTGCTACATTTCATGGTCATACTGATACTGGTGTGAAGGCCACTAAAGCAAGCCCTCTGTGTTGCCATATCTAATGGCATTTTTCTAAGCAGTTATCATCTAATCAACTTCCTTGTGACTACATCTAGGTAAGTTTCTCCCCAGATCTGTGTATTATAGGCTGGTTCCTCACTCCTGGTGCTATTAGGAGACAGGAAATCCTTTCAGAGGTAGGAACTAGGGGAAATCTAGTTGTTGAGGGTATACTCTTGAAGAGATATTGACATCTTGGTCTCTTCTTGTTTTTTTTTTTTGTTTGTTTTTTTGGCTTATAGGCCTCCATAAGACAAGCAGCTTCCTCTACGATGTATTCCTGCCACGATGTTCTACTTCACTATAGGCCCCAAAGCCATGGGACAACCAGCCATGGGCTAAGACCTGAAAAACCATATGTAAAACAAATCTTAGTTCTTTTTAAACTGATAATCTCAGATATTTTGTTATAATATAGTGGAAAACAAACACATTCCTAGCACCACTGGACATTGTCAACTGCCATCTCTTTGATATACCCTATTTTTCTGGGCTTCTACAGCTTTCTGCCTTTCCCTTATTTCTCTAGCTATTCTAAGTCTCCTGTGAGGATTTATTTTCCTTTACCAAAATGCCAAATATCAAGAATGCCTCACGATTCAACCCCAGGCCTCATCTTATGCTACACATTTTCCATAACTTCTGGCTGTGGCTTCAGTTAACATCTAAATATAGATAATAACTAAATTTACAATGTCATCTTTTACTACCCATCTCAAATTCAGACCAATATATCCACAGCCTGCTTGACATGTTCACTTGAATGACTCACAGATACCACACACCTCTAACATGTCCAAAACAGAACTCTCTCCTTCTACAAACACAGTTTTCTCCCGTTTGAGTGAGGAACCCTATTTTCTTCATAACAGAACTCTTGACTTCCTCTTCCTTGCCTCTCTCTGTATGAAATCTATCAGCTTGTTCTATCAACTTTGCCTTCTTAGTTTGTCCTTATTCTTTTTATACTTTTAGGGCCAATACCCTAATCCAAGGAACTAGTAAACATGGCATATATAAAGCTGTTGTTGCTGGAATGAGAAGACTGTTTCACAAGTAGTGAAATATAGTCCAAAATAATGATAACTATTATAACTATGTAGTTTTATGGGCTCTACAACTATATGCACCTTTTTTTCTTGTGCCAGTCCTGGGCCTGGGTGCTATCCCTGTTTTGCTTGGGATGACTTCCAGATGTGGTCCTTAGATCTCAGCCTCCTGAGTAGCTAGGATTATAGTTATTTGCCACCAGTGCCTGGCTATGTACTATATTTTTATATGACTGGCAGGGTAGTAGGTTTTGTTTATTCCAGTGTCACCACCAATATGAGTAAGAGATTGTACCATGGTATTATAATGGCTACAATGTCACTAAGTAATAGGAAGTTTTCAACTCCTTCTAATCTTATAGGATCACTAATGTATATTCAGTCTATTGTTATGAAAACATTATTATGGGGTAATATATAGTAATATACTGGCCCCAGGTGCAATACATGTTTGGAAGCATTCTGTAGATACAAAAATGTTATGTAATATAAGTTATCCCAGGGGTAGTGATGAGTGCATATAATCTTAGATACGTGGGAGGTAAAAGACAGAAGGTAATCAGTTGAAGGTCAGTCTGGATAAACACAGCACCAGATTTTATCTGAAAAATTTAAACAAAAAGGGCTGGAGGCATGACTCAAGTGGTAAAGTACATGCCTAGCAACTGCAAAGCCCTAAGTTCAAACCTCAGCATCACTAAAAACAAAACAAAACAAAAAACCTCTGAGAGATAAATCCCAAAATGCACTGCTCTTTTATATGTCTATTAGATTATCCATCAAATTTTCACTTAAGTTTGGCTAGTTTCTGTAATGAATCATTTTCTTTTTTTTTTTTTTAATTTAATTTTATTTTATTTGTGAACATACTGTACAGAGGGGTTACAATTACATGGGCAGGATAATGCGTACATTTCTTACCAAGCATTGCAGCCTCCTCCTTTGTTTATCCTTCACATCCCTTCCCAGCCTCCCCCCTCCCCCCAATCCCAATCCTTCTCCTTCCCCCCCCTGCCCCCCCCCCCTCCGCACCAATGTTGTAAAGCTCGTTTTGGACATGACAACTTGTACTTCTCATTGTTGCAACAGGTCCACCTGTATCCTTAAACAACTGGTTTTTCCCCATCTCCTCCACAAGTTATACTGACATCAAATATAGTGAAAGCAGGGGTTATACTGTGGGGGAGGGACATACAAAGCAACAAAGAGATAATTTTATAAATGTGTTAGAAACACATGCATGAAATGAATCATTTTCTTATAAATAATTAAATCTCAATAAGAAATAAAGTATTTCAATTAAGGGCTGTTAAGATTCCCCTTGTTTCAAAGGGGGTCCAAATATGACTTACCAAATGAGGAACAGAGAGGAGCAATATGGGAGAAGAGAATATAGAAAGAGAATATAGAAAGAAAATAGAAAGTTCCCTTCAGCTAGTATTGGAGACCTATGTATAATCTGCCTTAGCAACAGTTTTATTATCGTTAATGGAAAAAAAAAGAAGAAATCAAGAGGCCCCTTGATGACTTCTCTCCCTCCTCTCACTACTCCCTGGGTCTGAGATATCACACCCTAGAACCTATTTCTTCCTAGGAACCTCTCTCTTACATTAGCACATCCAGCTTCTATTCTATCCTCTCTGAAGCCTTCTGTGATCTTCTACTGTGGAAATGTGTTTAACTCTGTGTTCCCACTGCTCAGTTGTATCTCTTCTGCCATTTCTTTGTTTGTTATAACTTTTTTCTACTAATGCTCTGGCTTCAATGTGTATATTTCACTCCCTACCAGATTTCTGTGCTGACACTCAATTCCAAATGAGGCAGTATTAAGAGGTGGGTCTTCAGAAGGTAACTAGGTTTCTGTGCGAATGGCATTAGCACCTTATGTGAGGTGCCTGAGGGGTTGTGCTGGGTGGTTCTGTCAAAAAAAATAGCGTAGGTTTGGTTTCAAAAGTCTTGATAGTATGGAGGTATGAAGCAGAGAGCAAGTTCTCACAAACACCACATCCAATGAGGCCTTCACTTTCAACTTCTAATCAACTTATGCTGTTTACAAAATAGCCAGTTAAAAATATGTTTTTATGGTGTTGGAAATGACCCTTATTGCTTGGGGGGGGGGGTGGAAATGGAGGGGAGGGAAACTGGAATAAAAATGAGGGAAGGGGTAACAATGTTCAACAAGAAACATACTCATTACTTATGTAACTGTAACCCCTCTGTACAGCACCTTTACAATAAAATAAGAAAAACAATGAAAAGAAAAAAGAAATGTATGTATGTAACCCTAATCTCTCTGTACATCACCTTGCAAATAAAATAAAATTTAAAAAATGTCATAAGCCCAAATATAGATATATATGTTTTAAAAGAATCTATTTTCACAGATGAAACTTGTAAACTGAGAAATAAATGAAGAGAATTATTCCACCTCTAGAGAAAGTATTGTTTAATTTTATTTATCAAAGTGTTCCTAAGGTGATGCTTGCCCCCCTGTAGTGGTTAGTTACTCAGTGACGGTTCAGTAAGTGAACCGATACCCTCTACATCTTACATCTTCTCACCTTAGGAGATTTTTGATCTACTCACCAGAAATTCTTTTGTGTTCTCAATGTTCCTGTTTTATGATATCCTGTTCTTATTTTGCCATTAGAGAACTATCTCTCTTTGCATATAATGAATTTTTCCCTCCTGTAAGTTCCCTTCTCACTGTTCTATATCTGTCATCCCCTAATTTTGGAATTGAAGGAAGAAGTCTCAATCTTTCATGTTACAAGTGATTTTTTTTAAATAAATGTCTGGAGAGCCTTATTCCTTTTCATAATTAAACACAGAAAAGCTGACTGAGAGCTCTGGAGACGTATCAGAGACGTTTGTCAAACATGGCCATCATCTTTGGTACTATGTGTTTGAAGTTGTCTTTGAGTTGTTTCTTTGTACTTGAACTAATTCTCTAAAGTGTAACCCCTTCCCCAGTGGGGTAGGGTGACAGTCAGTGTTCTAGAAAGCTCCTGGGCAGAAGATACTTTGGGATATCTCAGCACTAAAGAATTTTGTGTGTATGTATGTGTGTGCTACTGAGAATTAAACATAGGGTCTCCAAACATTCTACCATTTGAGTCATGTCACTAGCCCTTCTGTTTTTGAGACAGGGCTTCACTAACTTGGTTAGTACTAATCTTGAACTTTGAGGTTTTCCTGCCCCACAACTGGCTAGCCTTAAAGTATTTTTAATTTAAAATTTACTTTATGCCTATGAATATATATATTTTTGAAATGAGGTTTTACTATGTTGCTTAGATAGCCCCCTTGAAATTCTGGCCTCAAATAATCTTGCCTCAGCTTTTGCAATAGCTGGATATTCCTGTTCTTAAATAAAGTAGCATCAGTTCAGAGAGCTTAGTTATTTATTTTGGGGCTGATCCTGGAACTTGAACTCAGGGCCTGGGCACTGTTCCTGAGCTTTTGTGCTGAAGGCTAGTGGTCTACCACTTGAGCCACAACTCTACTTCTGCATGGGCTGGCCTGAACTGCAATCCTCAGATCTGTCTCCTGAGTAGCTAGGATTATAGGTGTGAGTTACCAGCACCCAGACAAAGATCCAATGTTTTATTCCAGTTTTCCGGAGGTGGGAGGGCATGAATGTCTTCACAGATGATGGGAAACACACATTTCCCCGCCCCCCCCCCCCCGAGTTCATTTGGATAAATATCATTTTATAAGATTAGAAGCACATAGGCATTGTGCCTTTGTGTTCCTCTCCTAAGAATATTCTCATTTGGAGCATATGCAATATCTATCCACTTGTGTGTGGATGCCTAGAGGGGAAACACTTTTACCTAATCAAACTACGTTTGGCAGTACTTTTTTTTTTCTTCTGCTAGTCGAGGGGCCTGAACTCTGGGCCTGGGTGCTGTCCCTCAGCTCTTCAGCTCAAGGCTAGCACTCTACTATTTGAGCCACAGCGCCATTTCCAGCTTTTTCTGCTTATGTGGTGCTGAGCAATCAAACCTGGGGCCTCATGCATGTAAGGCAAGCACTCTACCACTGAGTCACCTTCCAGCTCCGTGGCAGTACTTTCAATCTCTATGTGTGCCATCAATTCCTGGAGACTCAGGGAACTCTGTTGGGTAGAATGATTTGTGTCTCGGTTCTGCCCATTGCTGGCCAACTTGGCCTTCAGTTTGCCAAGACTATTACAATCAGTGCATCTGCTTCCCAGCTTCAGAACTCTGTGATGGTTGCCTCTTCTACTCTCTAGTTAGTACTTGTGAATCTATACCAAATTCCTTTATGATCAATGTAACCAGGTCCTAAAAGGAATTTGTGCTTAATCACCATCTTTAATCAGTGTTTATTATTTAACTCAAATTTTTATTTGACAGTACTTTCCTGTGTTATGTCACTCATTACAGGTGTTACAATTATTACTTCTCTCATCAGGCTTTGGGTCTCTTGAGAATGGCAAGCAAGTATTTTGCCACATGAGTCCCAAGAACATGGCATCACGTATGGCACACAGGAAATGCCTGTAGAGGCTCTTGTGTTTGCCAATGTATGTTCGTGTCCAATGTAACAGGGCCCATCTTTTTTTTTTTTTTTTTGTCGGTCGTGGGGCTTGAACTCTGGGCCTGGGCGTTGTCCCTCAGCTCTTCAGCTCAAGGCGAGCGCTCTACCACTTGAGCTACAGCGCCACTTCCGGTTTTCTAGTGGTTTATTGGAGATAGGAGTCTCACGGTCTCTCCTGCCCGGGCTGGCTTTGAACCGCGATCCTCAGATCTCAGCCTCCTGAGTAGCTAGGATTACAGGCGTGAGCCACCAGCGCCTGGCTCAGGGCCCATCTTTTTATAGGGAAGAGTACACTGGGCTTTTAGACTTTTTCCTCCAGGATATTTGCTTTCCTACTGGATAGTTTGATAGGAGTTAAGACAGATGGTAATACTGGGCAGAATGCTAGGGGGATTGGTGCTTCTAGCTGGGGTTAGGTAATGAGATAAGGTCTCTTGGTTCTAGAAGGGAGTTTTATACACAGGAAGTAGCACAGCAAAGGACTAAAAAGAACTCACTCTCATGCCTCACTCCCTGGTCCTGTCTCAGCTATATGATTTTCTGACATCATGACATGAAGTACATAGAGGCTGTACCTTAGGTTTATTCATGAGAAAAATGGCAATGACAATACAATCTATTCTTGTAAGAATATAACAAGGATGGAGCCATGCTTGAGTGTAGTAAATACTTCAAAAACTGTGAAGCAATTACAACCACTACCTGCAAGCTGAAACAAAAAACACAAAACAAAAAACAAAAACAAAAACAAAAAACTATCCAAGCCAGGTGCTGGTGGCTCACGCCTATAATCCTAGCTACTCAGAAGGCTGAGATCTGAGGATCACGGTTCAAAGCCAGCCCAGGCAGGAAAGTCCCCATGAGACTCTTCTCTCCAATTAACCACCAGAAAAATCAGAAGCGGTGCTGTGGCTCAAGTGGCAGAGCACTCGCCTTGAGCTGAAGAGCTCAGGGACAAAGCCCAGGCCCAGAGCTCAAGACCCACAACTGACCAAAACAATAAAATAAAATAAAATAACAATTCACATCAGTGTGCAAAATGATGTCTAAGTCAAGAATACTGACCTTCAACTTGTTCACAACAATCTGCCTAAAGCTGGAGCTGAAGAATCTGGGCAATATTTAAGCTTTCTCTTGATCTATCTGATAAGTGGATTCAGGATTTCAAATGACTACTTCAACTACCACCTTCTACCTGCAGGAGGCAGGAGGGCAGGTGAACAGGCAGCACTGTGTACCTGCTTCCCTTAAATTAAAGGTAGGACAATCCTGGCAGGAGAATGAAAAGGGCAATCTCATAGATCCCTAACAACTACTGGATTCTACGATCTGTGAAATGGGGTTTTAAAAAAAGTGTCTATATTTATTACTTCCTGGAACATTTTGAAAATGACAGTTACGAAGCACTTTTGAGGTGTTTAAAAAAAAGAGGTGCCATGAGTGAAAGGTATTAATAGAGTTGTGGGCTACGGAGAACAGTTCTTTCACACTCATTCTGTGTGTGATATATATCACTCTCCCAAGAATAACTAGGGCTATTTTCACATTAGGATTGCATCGTAAGCTCATGGTTACTAGGTCAGCCTTCATCTCTCTGTTGTCTTTTCCATACTTGTCATTTCTCAATTAAAAACACTCATGCATCTGGTTCTTTAACAAGTTACAACTGATTTTAAATTGTTCTGGGTCAATTCCAAAGCCCAGATGAACTTCATTGTCTGATATCTACACTCAGCATGACTTTTACCATCTGTTCAAACTGAAATAAAAACCTTAAACAAGAAAGCTTTAAATAAGAAAGTTCTAGATAAGACTTCTTTGTGTGCTGTTGACCATACATTTCTGACCTGTCTATTAACTAAATATATGTTCAAGTTCTTCCTTATTTTTCTCAGTTTCTTGGGGACCATCCTATACAGGTGAAACAATACCAGGCAAAGTAAATTGAGGAAATGGCCAGGATCCTTTATTTCTCCTTGAGCCCACATCCTCTCCAATGTGACTATGGCTCTCTCCATTAAGCAGTGGAGTCTGGGGCTGGGTGCATAATTCAGTGGGTGAGTGTTTACTCTGAGTGCTCAAGGCCCTTGACATTTAGCTTTGAACATGAAATGATTCCTGTAGGTCCATATGTTAATACTTGGTTGCCAGCTGGTGGTGCTAGTCTGGGCCTAACTGGAGGAAGTACATCATTAAAGCACACCTTAAAAGATTGCCCCTGGTCCCTAGTTTCTTCCTTGGTCTCTGCTTCCTGTCCATCATGAAAACTGAGAAACTCCTCCATCACATACTCCATCACTATGACCTTCTGCAGAATGCATGTGACCAAGCAAGAATGGACTAAACCATCTAAAATCATGAGCCAAAAGAAATGCCTCCTCCCTTAAGTTGTTTCTTTCAGAGATTTGGTCCCAGTGATGATAGAAAACTAACTAGCACACTAGATTTGATTTCTAGCACTGGAAAATGCAAAAACAAAAAAAAAGCAAGGCATGAAGTGTCTTTCTAAGTCTAGAATACAATTGGTTTTATACCTGACTATACACTGTTGTGGCACGTTCCTGCTTCTCAGTGAACAAATACAGAGTCATAATCTAGAGGATGTGAGACTGTGTGGACCACAGCCAGGTCCTGCTCAGCTGACTTGGAGATATGACAGAGACCAGCCAAGATCATCAGCCAAGCTAAAGACTCCACTTGTAGATGCAGACACATGAGGGACCAGCACTACATGGCTACCCTGCAGAATAATGAATTAAATGAAGGCCTGGGGCTTCTGCATGTTGGAATGGTTTGTTATGCAGCATTACAGAGATAACAGATAATTAATATACCAAAAAGTCAGAAGTATCACTCTACCATTGTTTTAATTAGCTGCTCTATAATTTCTCCTACTTTCTTTTGAGCTGTACTCTAGGAATTTAAAAGAATGTAACATCTTAGAATCTTCAACAAAGGATAGGTAGGGCAAGCATTTTATGACTGGTATTTAAGGTATCTACAAAGGAGGTTCTACATATTTAAATAGCTTCCCAAGTTCTTAGAACTTCACACCCAGATCTTCAGGGTTCAAAGATCTTTGGGGTCCATGCTCTTATCCATGCATAATGCCTGTCTCTGGGAAATCATGCCACAAAGTATGTGTCTGAGCAAGCTGAGAATGGCCATCAGCCAGTCTTACCTGAGCCAGATGCAGAAGCATAGTCGTCATCATCAATAGGATATACTCCAGAAGCTTCTTCAATGGAGCTGTTGTCAAGGTACATGTCTTTGTCCGATGTCAGCTCTGCTCGCTGAGAAAGGTAAGATGTGATTCAGGATGGCAAGAGATTAAGACATACTGATTTTACCTACTGTTCACCCTGATGCCCCAGTGACTACCCCTGTACCCTATTCCTGAGTCCCTATGTCTGTCCATCCCTTTCCTCAGGGCACCCTGGCAACTTGTATGTAATTAAGGGCTGACTCTAGTCTGACTCCCGAAAGGGAAGCTTCTGAGCCTAATCCATTACAGTGAGGATGTTGCAGACCTAAGCACCTACCATAGGTTTGTTCCACTGTACTAAACTCATTGGGGTTTTGGTTGTCCAAATGCTAATCAGAAGCTATCTCAGACATTCCTTTTGGTCATGAATGAGGTTCCTTTATTGCAAAAGCTACTGAACACCCAAATCACTTAAGACTTTCTTGGGGATGTATGGAGGCACTTAGGCTCAATAATCACCTAGGGAGCCATCAAGGCACGCCAAGTGCTCACAGGCCTGGCCATGCGTAGCTTCATGACAGATGAGAGGCTCCCTAGTCGAGCAGGCCATCCAGAGCTTTCTGCTTCATGCAGATCTACACTGACTCCAGGCAGGACACCCCGTGTAGAGCAGGGACTATGGGGCTCATCTGCCAAGAGTGAGGGCCCACAGCACGCCCACGTCTAGGGTTCACTGGCTTAGCAGAGTCTTAATGACAAATACAGATAAACCCACAAGAGCACTTTAAAAAAATATTACTGGCACTTGGTAGTAGCAAATCACAGGCTTACTGTGGAGAAGGATCAGGCACTAAGCATACCCGTTCCACAGCTTCTTAGCTCTTTAATAAGAGGTTAGTATTAAATTCACCCTAATCCTGCCAAAGGGGTAACATGCATGAATTGGAGATGGAGAAGAGACAGAATTTTTTTAAATGGTTTTAGTAAATTGATATTTTATCCCCAGTATCTCAGACTGGCAGCTTTGACGCAAAGTTGGAAACAGGCAGTGTTCATTATTATCCTATTAAAAAAAATCAAATTGGATGTTTGTTCCTCACAGGAATTATATTTTTAAAAAAAACTGTCCCCCTTACTATGCTGGCTTTCATTGGATTTCCACTAAAGTAAGACTTGGTCTCAACAGTCAAGGAGGGACAGGCCCACCCTCTGGAACAGACATGCTTTATTCTCTCAGGTTTCAGTGGCTGGCTGGAGAGGCTGAAGGGTTTTAAATCTGAGCCCACAGTCTCCACACACATCGGTGCCAATGACAGAAAAGTATGGGAATCATTCTGTTGGAGCGATCACACCGGCAGAGTCTGAGGTCTGAGCCCTTAGGGATCAGATTTGCAGGCACTGAGTGACCCCCCTCAGCCAAGAGTGTGCCGGAACTTTCTTCCTGCCTGCACAGTCAGAGCCTAACTCTGCAATCTGAGGCTGGGCTGTATGGCACCAGTCTCCAAGGCAATCACCATTCCAGAATGTAATTCCCAAAGCTTGCCAACCAAATTGGGAGCCTTGCATCCCACAGATCTTGGCACAACTTAACTGGCCACACTGGACATTCTATCCCCCTTGGAGAGAACAGATCAGTTAGCCCTCCGTACCTTTGAGCTCCACGAACACAGATTCAACCAACAATAGATTCAAAATAAGAAAATTAATAAATAAGTCCAGTTTGGCCAAGTATGGTGGCTTGTACTTGTCATTTCCCACTAAGGAGGATGAATCAGGAAGATCACGTTTGAAGTCAGCCAGGGCTACATGGCAAAAACTTACCTCAAAAGCAAAAGAAAAGTCTGTACTGAGTAGGTGCATATATCTTTTCATTTTTCATCATTCCCTAAACCACACAGTACAACTATTTCCATAGCATTTATATTTTATTAGATATTCTAAGTCGTCTAATACACAGGAAGGAGTATACAGCTTTTATGAACATACTACTCTTCGTAGGTGTGTGGGGGTGTGTGTATACATGTGTGTGCTGGTCCTAAGGCTTGAACTCAGGACCTAGGCACTGTCCTTGAGATATTTTTCTCAAGGCTAGTGTTCTACCACTTTGAGCCACAGCTCCACTTCTGATAGAGTCTCATGGACTTTCCTGCCTGAGCTGGCTTCAAACCTCAGTCCTCCTATCTCAAGCTCCTGAACATCTAGGATTACATACGTGAGCCATAGGTGCCTGGTCATACAATTCTATTATATGTAGAAACAAAAACTAACTTGCACAGTTGTGAATTTTAATATTTAATTTCTTTAACCTCTCCTTCTTCCCCCACCAAATCGCAGCAGCTACCCACCCAGTAAACATGGCTTAGGTTGAACAAGTCTGAGCTCCCAGTCTAAAAGCCATGTTTACTTTGCCTGTTTTAACTCTTGTCCTATCAGATTTGCCTAGAAGACCTTTTGTCATCCTCAGTCAAATCGCTCATCTACTTTCCAAAACATCCTCTGATACCTCCAGTCATTTTCCTTATATGCACCTTAAGTTACAAATTGTGCTCTTTTACATTCTGTAGCCTATGTGCAGTTTAGGGCATAGAGTCTCACTCTTTTTAAAAAATCAGTTTATTTGTTTTGCTCCTCGTTATGGATACTTATTTTAAAAAACCTCTGTGAGTTTGTTCTTTGTCCCTCTCAAAGTGCACAGGTATTCAACAAATATTTGTCAGCTGAGGTTACTAAATCAAAATGGTTCAAGTAACCTTTGACTTGGGTTTTAGGGTTCACAGGTGTCCAAGATCTGTAGGATTCCTATAGTTAAAATCTCTTGATCTGAAGCCTGAGAGAGCATCTTCCCCAAACTTCCCGTACCTTGCCCTGTATCTACTTAAGTAATCCAGAGTTTTAAATATATATATACAATATATATACAAAATACATATATATATATATATATATATATATAAAAGAAAGGTTCTCTATACATTTCAGAAACAAGTTTCACCCTCTCACTTTCCTCTTGGCCCTCTGCCTGAAGAATTTGATGTGGCAAAGGTTAACACAGATATTTAATCCTTACATGTGAAATTGAATTTCCAGCCACTGGAAGACTCAGTTTATCCAGACAATACATCTGTCACACCACAAGGTGGGTGGGCCAAAAAATGTCTGCCAGAAAATCCTAGCCACCTCACACTGTAACTACACCAGGCAGCCTGACAAGCCAACAGACTTCTAAAGAGGCAGCTATGAAACCTGCATTACTACCAGACTTGAGGAAGAGGCCAGGGAGCACCTAGAGGTAACCCTCGTCCTCAGGGCCTGTAGGTACCTCCAGGGGGTAATCTGACGCTGATTGGATGTTTAATGAGTTGCTGGCAGCCAAAAGTACTTGTTTTCCATCAGTCAGTGTGGTGCAAAAAATTCTGCCATCAAACTAAAAAAGCTCTCTTCCATTCTGATTTCAGGAATACTAAGAAAACAAGGGCCAATTGTCCATGTCCTAATATAGAGAATAAGAAGCAGGGTTCTTTCGTGTTGTGTAGCTGATAATGCTAAAAAAAAAAAAAAAAAAAAAATCAAAGACAAAACAAACAGAATTCCATTTCTTTTCCTGTAAAGAAAAAATAAGTTCCAAATAGGACAGATTCTACTTCTGAAGACACCACATACTGTGTGGGTAAGGACGTGTGCATTTAACACACTTAAAAGAGGCAATAAATTATGCACCAACACTCCTCTTGAAACAAGGTGGTAACAATCTCCCCTACCTTCTTGACCACTCCCCCTCAATTTCTCTTTATTTGGCAGCACTGGGTGTGAACTGGGGGCCTCACACTTGTTAGGCAGGCTCACTAGCACTTGATTCATATCCATAGCCCATTTTGCTTTTCTTGATTTCCAAGTAGAGTCTTGCCTGAGGCTATCCTGGGACTGTGGTCCTCCTATTTCTACCTCCTGAGTAGCTAGGATTACAGAAGTTCCCCAACAGGCCTGGAAACTCCTGAAGACCATAAAAATACATGATTCAAAACTACTGACTTGACACCTGGTTGGATGTGGTCAGCCTCACTGCACAGAAAACCCTGGGACACTACACACTCTGCAAATGTCTACGTGGTCAATAGGGACAGAAACTGGGTGAGAGTAACTGCAAAGAAATGTGCACAGGCAAAAAGCTATTGACTGCCTGCAGGATTTCATAATGAAGTTGTTTGGGTTGGGGCTGGCCATGGCCATGGCTGTGAGGCCATGCCAATACTGTTGGCTAACAGGTTCAGAGTATAAGCTGGAAGAAAAACAAAGTGGATCTTTCAGACCTTTTCCCCTTCGCTGATGCAAGATCTGAAGAAAGGAAAGCCAAGGGAAGCTGTAGAAAGCTACCAGGTGCTGCAAAAAGAAAAATCAATTGTAGACACAGACAGGACTTCTGCTTCATGTCATGTTCAGCCAGGAAAAATGACGCACATTGTTTCTATTGACTGAATTCCCAGAAGAATGCGCATCTCAGGCAGTTTTTCTATCCCCTACAATGGCTAGAAAGAAGGCAAGATACAGGTTTATCTACCAACTCCATCCTTCCTTCTTTAGCACTGAAACTTCAGTAATCTTATCTTACTGGGTCTGGGCTATGAATAAGGCCTTTTGACATAGGTGCTGCAGAATTCTTCACTTTTAAAGCCATGCTTTGTAGAGATAGTTCTCAAAATTAGTGCAGTGGCTGGGCACTGGTGTTTCATGCCCATAATTCTAACTACTCAGGAGGCTGAGATCTGAGAATTGAGGTTTGAAGCCAGCCCAGGCAGGAAAGTCTGTGTGACTCTGATCTCCAATTAACCACCAAAAAACTGAAAGTGGAGTTCAAGTGTACAGCACTTTTTTGCTTAAGCAAAAAAGTTCAGGGGCAATGCCTAGGCTCTCAGTTCAAGCCCTAAGACCATAACAAAAAATAAAATAAAAATATACACACAGGCTGGGAAGGTAGCTCAGTGGTAGAGTGCTTGCCTTGCATGCCTGAGGCCCTGGGTTCGATTCCTCAGCACCACATAAGCAAAAAGAAAAAAGCAGGAAGTGGCGCTGTGGCTCAAGTGGCAGGCTCCA